GGTGGTGCAGCTGTTTTGACGGTTCCAAGCAGCAAGCAGAATGAAGGAGGGGAGATTATGGCAGGCTAATGGTATCATTAATAGCTGGTGAAGGTTCTCAGTCATCCAGGACATGGTCAATTAAAAAAAAGTTCAAGACAAAATCAATAAAGAATAATAAATAAAGTCCAGTTGTTTTTTTGTCTTTAAATTTTTTGAATTTGTCATTAAAGCCACGTTTACCTATTACATGATAGAATGGCATGCCATAAAATTACTACTCTGCTGCCATCAAGTGGCTGAAAGTGGCACAGCTAAAAAACAATTCAGCCAGAATCATATCTCAGCCAAAATTTGGTTTATAAATATAGAAAAAAATCCATAAATATGTCGCTTTGGTCTATAAGGCGCAGGACGTGCAGATTATGCAAAAATCTGTGACTTATAGACCAAAAAATATAGTATATTTACTGTTATAATTCTTGTACAGCAGTCCCTCGATTATCGTGGGGGTTATGTTCCACACATCCCCGCGGTGGGTGAAAAACTGCAAAGTAGGAACGTTACATTTACTTTAGTATTTATATTAGTCCCACGGACTCACTCTATTGCAGTTTTTCAAAATAAGATTGGACATGACACGCAATTGGCTGATTGATGGATGAGCCAGATGATCGGCATGGAATTTTTATTTAAAATGAGTTATTTAAAATTATTTAGCACATGTGTGCAGCCCACAGATGTGTGCTAACTTCTTCCTGCAGCTGATCTGCTGATCTCCATGCAGAGAGGAGAAGTGGGTGTGGCCAAGAGTGCAGCCGAGGCAGGGAGCTGATATCATGACATTCTGTGCTCTTTTAGAGCGTTTATAGTTTAGAAACATTGTTTAGAATATTGCAACAGTGTGGGAAGGGTTTTACACGCCTTAAAAATAAATAAATATATAAATACAAAAATAAACTACTACTTACTACTTGTACCTACTTGTAAATTCCTACTTCACAGTTTTTCAGTTATCGCACTTCAGGGTACGGAGCCCCCGTGATAAACGAGGGACTACTGTATGTATATTTTAAAGCTTTAAAAACCCTTCCCACACTCTTGCAATGTTCTAAACTTAAATTTACAGAAAGCAGCAGCTGTAAGCACTGTAGGCTTCTGGGTATGGTAGTTCTTTTGACTGGCGTTACGTTGAAGGCTTATTGAAAGAAAACTACAAATGGCAGCGCCTGTCCGAAGTATTTTTGCCCCCGTCCCATCACGTGAGTAATATTAAAGTTGACAATTGTTGAAAGTCGAACTGCGAAGTAGCGAGGGACTACTGTAATTTAGTTTTGCATGTGGTCCAAACAAGAATGCCTAAAGTTTTTTGTTTTGTGATTTAGATCACGCAGCTGAAAATTGATCACAACCCTTTTGCCAAAGGATTCAGAGATAATTACGACTCGTGAGTATTTTACCTCAAACTGTGAATATTTTCACACCGTGCGCATTTCCCACTCGTTACTATTTCTTCACTTGTTTATGCATTTATTGTTTTCCAAGGATGTACACGGCTCCAGAGGGCGACCGCCTCACCCCCTCTCCAAACGACTCCCCCCGCGCCCACCAGATCGTCCCCGGCGCCCGCTACACAATGCAGCCCCTCTTCCAGGACCAGTTCGTCAACAACCTCCAGCAGAACCGCTTCTACAACTGCGAGCGGGCCGTGCCGCAGACCAACAGCCTCCTCTCGCCTCAGACGGAGGACGGGGCGTCGCAGAGGTGGTTCGTCACCTCCGTGCAGCAGGGGGGGAGCAGCGCCGGCAACAAGCTGGATCTGGCGCCCTACGAGGGCGAGTACTCGGGCTCCCTCCTGCCGTACGGGATCAAATCCCTGTCCATGCAGACCCCTCACTCTCTCAGCTACTACCCGGACACTCCGTTCACCACCATGTCTGCAGGGTGGGGGTCCAGGGCAGCTTACCAAAGAAAAGTGCCCCCCAGCCTGCCGTGGTCCCCCCGACCCAGCCCTGCTGCTAGCTTCTCAGAGGAGTCGGGGAAAGTGAAAGCGCAGACTGAGGAGGTGCACAGCGGCGAAGCTCTGGTCAGCTCCTGGACTGAGAGCCAGACTTCAGCTCTGTCCCCCAACAAGGCAGAGGCCTTCTCTGTCGGCTGCAAGCGAAGGCGTCCGTCGGTCAACGGGCCGAGCACGGACGAGTCGTCCATCAGCAGCAAGTGTGAAGACTTGTCCTCTGCTACCAGCAGCCCCTACAGTAAAGAAGCCCCCACAAACAAAGGCATGCCTTCTTATTACTCCTTTTACACAAACCCCTGAGTTTTCATCTGCCACTGTGAATAAGAGCTACTGTTCTGCTTTTATTGTTGCGTCAACACTTTTGTTTGGGCAGAGAAAAGTATTAATTTCTTTTTGTAGTTAAAAAAAAAACAATCACAATCGGAGAGAATAAGCTTTAACATCTTGAGACGCATTTTTTTAAAGGCTGTTTTTCTGAACAATTTGTTTTAAATACCAGTTGAATTATTGTGTTTGGTGCTTAAGTTGCCTTATTTTATTTTATTTTTCAAAGCTGTGCTGTGTATGTTTCCTTGCTGCATACGTTTATGTGTCAATCTTTACAGTAAGATTACATGTTTACAGAATATTTATTAAAGCCTTGTTTATATGAAATGTGTGCACTCTTAAGAGATGACAATAATGTGCTATATATATATATATATATA